CAGTGGGGCAAAATTTGAAAACTGTGTATCCGATCCCAATTCTGAGCAGATATAAAGAATAGAAGCCCCTGATTCCAAATATGCTTTCGGTTTTGGAATCCGACCTCTGAGTGACCTTGAAAAGGTCAACAAGTTCAAAAATCAAAATCGCTCAAATTGATTCCAAATTGGTACCATTGTATTACACTGTACTCGGATAGAGTAAATTAGGTCACCATTTTGACCTTGACCTTTGACATTGACCTTCAAATGACATCAAAGTTGAAAACTAGGATTTTCATTCCAATTCTTTGCAAGTATGAAGTATGGATGTCCCTGATTCTAAATATGCTTGTGCTTTTGGAATTTGACCTCCGGGTGACCTTGAAAAGGTCAAAAAGGTTAAATTGCTAAAATTGCTCAAATTGATTCGAAATTGGTACCATTGTATTACACTGTACTAAACTAGAGTAAATTAGGTCAACATTTTGACCTTGACCTTTGACCTTCACCGTAAAATGACGTAAAACTTATGTCAATGATGTCAACTTAGGTCAATTATTTCTTGTTTTACCTGTTCAAGGAGCCACTGTAGTTATTTTTTGCATGCCTTACTCTTCCCATTTAACATATCTCTAGGGTTTATAATTTGGGTGATTTTCATTCCAATTCTTTGCAAGTATGAAGTATGGATGTCCCTGATTCTAAATATGCTTTCGGTTTTGGAATTCGACCTCTGCGTGACCTTTAAAAAGGTCAATTGTGCACCGAATTTGCTGCTGCGGCGAGGAACGGCATTCTACGAAATCGCCCCCGTGGCGATTTTAAATGTCTAGTTGTTTTTCTCCCCTTTTGGAATTTCTGATACCATTTGTAGATTGTGTACTTAGGCACACTGTCCCCATATGCTTTTTGGATATCCCTAATGGTATCCTGCTTGGATTTCCCTAGCAACACATTGTATTTGATGCTACTTCTCAATTGTTGTTTCATTTCATTGTTCATTTTGCTTCCATTGCCAATCCTGGCAGCCATGATTTTGATGATGTCATGGAGCAGTGTCTGATGGATCATTCTGGATCATTCCATCTGTTGTATCATCTGTCTGTGATATCATAGACTATTGTTGCCATGGTATCATATTTGTGTATGTTGTTGTTATGTTTGTCGTGACTTTCAGCCATAGCAAACAAAGACATATGCAGCATTAATCTTAATCAATTTCATTGCATTATAACATTTTTATTAAAGTAAGAAATTGCTCCGCAGAACCCGTATTCACGTTACTATGACAACCATTGTTTTGCTATTATTCATCATATCTTATTTTTTAATTTTTCAGTGTAGTTAGGAAAATGTCAAATGCTTCTTCACTGAAAATTTGAAAGATAAATGATAAAAAATAAAAATTTGAGAGCAAAATTAGCTTTACTTACTGAACGCCCTGTACTAGATGAGTTATTTAGTTTATCCATTTGAAAGTCCTAATACTGAAGAATCTTGTTCTTTCGATTATTAGACTGTTTTTTTATATTTGAATTACTATTCTCAATAAATAAGTTTATTCTGCATTTTACCATACACATAACAAGAAATAAACATTTCCAAACGTTTATCCTCTATAAACCTATAGACTCTCTTAACTAATGGTATGTATACGTTTTGGGCTTATTTCTTCTACTGATAAAAGTGGACGTTTAAATTGTACTTTATTGTACTACATGGGTCATTAACTTTATCCATTTGAAAGTCATAATATTATAGCGTTGCCGGATGTGATGCATTGTGCGTGATGTGTTAAATAAATGATTACTGATATAAGTACACTAAATGTGTAATAATTCTATGAATAAAAGTGCAAAATTTACCTAAGTGTGTGTAAAGCTCAGAACAATGTGAATATGAAATCACATATAGCAAGTAAAGCAGTTAATTGTAATAAAGGTAGCGTGTAGATTTGTTTGTATTGATATATACATTTGTAATTATGTAAAATGTAATTTAGCCTCATAAAGAGGCATGAAGCTTTTATGTATGTTGTAACATTGTAATTGTGGGATGAAAAGAAAGTATATCTTCAGCTATTTATTGAGCTGTACGTCCATCAAATGTATCTCTTTTGTCTCACTGAGGAATCATTGAAGTGGTAATGTGAGATATACACATAGGTTATGGGTCTCGAGCATATGCAGGCATCATAAAATGCATGACATCCATGACAGGCGTCTTGTCACAGACTGACATCAAAGTGGATTCCTGGTTAGACCCGTGCCCTCAGCTAGTCATCTCATCAATTAGCATCATCATAGAAATCCTGGTTCATCAAAGACTTTGAAATATACCTCGCATATACTGGGCCCTGGAGATGCGATATTATGAAACAGTGGCTTTAACTTTCTAGAGCATTACTCTGCTGAGTGATGCACTAATTTAGGATGCTGAATTTTACAAAGCATCTTTGATACACTTGTTGAATAATTTGACAAGGCCTTTAAATAAGTAAGTGTTACATGGGACCTTTCAATACTGAATTGTCAAATATCCTTGTACAGGATATAAATTAGTACATGGCCTTTAAGTGATTTGACAAATATCCTTGGACAGGATACGAATTTACACAGGGCCTTTAATTGACAAATATTCTTGTACAGAATATTCCCTCACACACTGATTGAAATGGCAATTAGGCCTATCCTTGCACAGGATAATCATATGAAATAAATTCACACGGGGTCTTTAAATATTCTTGTACAGAATATATTATGTGAAGACATCGACATCTGGTCGTTTGGCTCAGGCATCAACCCCGGGTGTTGGTCTCATCGAAGATCCCCGGGTGATTTCTATCTTTCCTTTTCCATCCTTATTTCTCATAGAAAACACCAACAAAACTGAATTTAACTTTCTACAGGGTGGGCCAAAAAAAACCAATACCCAACTTTAAATCAGAAAGAAATTAGCTATGTTCAATATGATGCATTGATTTATATACCATTTTAAAGGTAATCCATTTTCGAACAATTTGGTATATAACACTATGTCATGAAATCAATATTAAAGTTTTATTATGCTTATTTGGGAGGCCGGGTCGGTATTTAAGGTATTCAGATTTTAGGGAGAAAATAGTAAATCTGCGGAATAATGTTAATTTTTTATTTATAGAATATCATTTTGTTAGGTGAATACATGCTTGTATATTTGCATATTGTGTGACTAAACTTATTGTTTATGAATTTTAGTGTTGTTTATTATCAGTAAGTACTCAAAGGTTGTTAAAAGACATTAAACGTATATGTGACAAGGATTTTATTTTCCAACAAGGCATTGCCTTGTACCATAGATCAAAGGAGACATTGGCATTTCTTTGCAAACAAGGTGATTTCGATGCTTGCCCACCCAAACAGCCCCGATGCTAATGTGTTTGATTTCCATACATGGAGCCATCTCGAGGAAACGAGGCACGATCAAAAGCATCCAATAAACAGTGTTGATGAGCTGAAACAGAATCCTAAAGTTCTGAAATAAATTGCAACAGAAATCTCTAAATACGGCTATTGATAGATTGCGCTACCACTTCAAGCTTATTGTTGATGCAGAGGGGAGGGATGGGGTATATTGAGCAATTGTTAAAATTGTTTAAATAAATAAAGTGTAAAATGTCATTAACCAACACTGAAATTCATAAACAATAAATTTAGTCACACAATGATGCAAATATCAACATCCAAGCATTTGTTCACCTAACATAAGAATGATATTCTATAAATGAAAAATTAACATAATTTCGCAGATTTACTATTTTCTCCCTTAAATCTGGAGACCTTAAATAGCAACCCGACCTCCCAAATAAGTAAAATAAAATTTTACTATTGATTTCATGACATAGTGTTATATACCAAATTGTTTGAAATTATATAACCTTTAAAATGATATGTAAGTCAATGTACCATATTGAATGTAACTATTTTTATCCTGATTTGAAGTTGGGTATTGGTTTTTTTTGGCCCACCCTGTATATACATCTATTTACACTTTATATACGTTTTCCCACCACCCCCCCCCCCTAGTACATAATTCGTGTTCAGTCGTTACATACTAGCTCAAATTCTACGGAGCTCAAAGTTTTCCAACTTCCCGCTCGAAAAAGTGTTCTCTCTCTTTTGTGCATTGTGCATGTCCAAGACAGTCCATGACGCCACTAATGCAATTGACGCACCGCGCATGCGTCCCGGAAGTTAAGAAAATCTAAACTTCCGGTTAAAATAAAACGTGAACATTTTATGTTTACACTTGAAAATGAGAAGAAAGTAAGAGATTACATTAATATAAAATGATATAAGAGTCCTGAAATATAATGCAAATACATGATTGAACTAATGAATTGAACAGTTGAAGGTATTGAACAGAAAGTATGGCACGTAAAAGATCGAGTGAAGTGAAATGAATTTGTAAATTTTCTTACCCTGCGTGCAGAGTCTAGTTAAACTACACTCTGCCTAGTAGAGACCATATTACAGTTAAGTAGCCGAAGCTCTCTTTTAAGAAGTGAAGTCAAACGAATGCAAAGGGTAAAATTTTCTGAGTTCCTAAAAATGTTACAATATTTAAGAATCTTGTTCTATCATATCAAATCGTTGTTACCAAAACGAACCGTTTCGGTAAGCAGCGTAATCGAGTGGATCACCAGTGAAGTTTCTTTATAAACCGTGCAGTCTCACAAACAACCTAAACTTATTTAAGTGTCCTAAAAAACACAGATGATGTGAAACACATTCCTCTAGCGCTGAATATACTAACAAGAATACATGTAAGCTTGGTCAAAAACTAACAAGAAAGAGCATTCATTTTCAAAAAGCCAAAATCTCACGACTTTTCACCAGAATGTGTAGATTTTACGGGAGAGTTCTGTTTGATTACTACCTGTGAACTGGACAAAGAAATTCCTCAGAATCCAAAGAACTCAGAAGGCTGAGGGTAATTCTTTCAACTCAGCATTTTTTGTACACCTGCAAAGGAAGCTTCTGATAACTGCTGGATTCCACTTTCTGACATGAGCATACATACAAATCCAACAAAGCTCATTATTATATCCGTTCCTATAGAGTCTATTAATGTATTTAGAGAAACGCTCAGGGTTGTGCCATTGTACTGACACTGCTATCTTGTACAGCTGTTGGGTCTTTGGTAATTGGTAAATATGGTATATTCTTGTCCACTGGTCATAATTTACTTCCGATCCTAGCTTCTACCACCAGTCATTATTATATTGTGGTTGGAACATCTGGCTTCATGTCAATTAGAAATTTGTATATAGCAGTGGTAGCAGGTCTGATGGTATATCCCTTCTCCTTTGATTTATTGGTTATAACTAATAACGTGACCTCACATTGTCTGAACATAATAACAAAAGCACATGTTAAAATATGATGAGTGCTTACATAATAATTGTTGTTATACTGTATTATCACAATCCATCTCTGCAAAAGTGCTTGGTGAATGCAACTTAAATTTGGCATATTTTTATACTTTAGATACCAACTTAACGGAAAAGCATACAGGCATAACAGGTTTTTAAGATAGTCTTTCAGGTTATCTACTTGATCAATCACTAACTAGCTAGAATATAAAAAAGTATAAATACTGGTACATTTAGTTCCAAGTGTAATATACAAAATATGAAGAGACAGAAAAGCCATTTGTCCCGGGTCCCGTTTCCATGGTTACCAATTTTTTACCCTAGCAACGCATTAGTGCCCGTATGTTGACTAAACTTACATATTTTATGAGCAATTAAATTATCCTCATTTTGTGCAAGTTTGATGTTATAACTCCCAAAAATAAAAAATGAGAGCATTTTTATCAGAATATCAGGATCGATCCTTGTATTTCTTATATGTATTACTAGTATTCTCTTAGTAAGCAACAATTTATCATGTTAACTACATTTCACCATTTGTTCAGAATGGAAGATTCACCCATAAGTAAGTTGTAAAGCAAGGTTGGTTGAGGTTAAGAGCTTGGGGTGATTCTGTTACTTAAATATGCTCATGTCATCATCCAATATTAAAATCTACTGAGTCTAGCATCAATTTAGGGGATCAGAGTTGTCTTTTTTTAATTTCTCCCCTAACAAATAGAATCATCCCCAGCTCTACCCTTACCAACCTTGCTATACACCCCCACTTCATGTTTTGATATAGTGTTGGTCACCTTGAATTTAATCCAATTTATATAGATTTTTAAATCTTAGACATACACATAAATGTCAGTTCAAAAATCAAGCAGGGGTCCATAAAACCGATTCTTAGTGTTTCCATCCGTAAAGTTGAAAGAGAAATCCATTCCTGCGTTGACAAACTCTTTTTCCGATATTTCCCCATCGTAGTCTGTATCCATGTAGTCAAACTGAATTCTAGCCAGACTTGGATCAAGGTCAAAAGCCTTCCACCAGTGTATGTACTCAGAGAATTGGATAAAGCCATCGGAGTTGAAATCCAGTGCCTGTAAAAAGTAATAACATCAATAAGATCAGAGAATCATTAAATCATTGAGGGGCAAAAGGCACCAAAAGGCACCAAAATGGGGTTAGACAAGGTGGTATTCTGAAGTCTAATTTTCTTGTCATCATAATTCCAGGAAAACCACCAAGTGGATTTACTTCAAATTTTCACACATGTTACATGGTATGAAGTTCTAGAGCTGATTAACTTTTCGGTGGCCATCTTGCATTCTGTCGGCCATCTTGGAAGTTTTTATTAGATAAATCTTGTCATCACGATTCCAGGAAAACCACTTAACAGTTTTACTTCAAATTTCCACACATGTTAGATGGTAAGAAAGTCTAGAAGTGATTAACTTTTTGGTAGGCATCTTGCATTCTGGCGGCCATCTTGGAAGTTTTTGGATAAATCTTGTCATCGTGATTCAAGGAAACCCCCTTAACAGATTTACCTCAAATTTTCACACATGTTACATGGTATGAAGTTCTAGAGCTGATTAACTTTTAGGTGGCCATCTTGCATTCTGGTGGCCATCTTGGAAGTTTTTAAATAAATCTTGTCATCGCGATTCCAAGAGAACCACTGAACAGTTTTACTTCAAATTTTCACGCATGTTACATGGTATGAAGTTCTAGAGCTGATTAACTTTTCGGTGGCCATGTTGCAGTCTGTCGGCCACCTTGGAAGTTTTTATTAGATAAATCTTGTCATCACGATTCCAGGAAAACCACTTAACAGTTTTACTTCAAAGTTTCACACATGTTACATGGTAAGAAGTTCGAGAGCTGATTAACTTTTCGGTGGCCATCTTGCATTCTGTCGGCCATCTTGGAAGTTTTTATTAGATAAATCTTGTCATCACGATTCCAGGAAAACCACTTAACAGTTTTACTTCAAATTTCCACACATGTTAGATGGTAAGAAAGTCTAGAAGTGATTAACTTTTTGGTAGGCATCTTGCATTCTGGCGGCCATCTTGGAAGTTTTTGGATAAATCTTGTCATCGTGATTCCAGGAAACCTCCTTAACAGATTTACCTCAAATTTTCACACATGTTACATGGTATGAAGTTCTAGAGCTGATTAACTTTTAGGTGGCCATCTTGCATTCTGGTGGCCATCTTGGAAGTTTTTAAATAAATCTTGTCATCGCGATTCCAAGAGAACCACTGAACAGTTTTACTTCAAATTTTCACACATGTTACATGGTATGAAGTTCTAGAGCTGATTAACTTTTCGGTGGCCATGTTGCAGTCTGTCGGCCACCTTGGAAGTTTTTATTAGATAAATCTTGTCATCACGATTCCAGGAAAACCACTTAACAGTTTTACTTCAAAGTTTCACACATGTTACATGGTAAGAAGTTAGAGAGCTGATCAACTTTCCGGTAGCCATCTTGCATTCTGGCAGCCATGTTGGAAGTTTTTAGATAAATCTTGTCATCGCGATTCCAGAAAAAACACTTAACAGATTTGCTTCAAATTTTCACACATGTTCTATACCTGGCCATTTTGCATTCTAGCAGCCATCCTGAACGTTTTTAGATAAATCTTGTCATCGCTATTCCAGGAAAACCACTTAACTGATTTTCTTGAAATTTTTACACATGTTACATGGTAAGAAGTTGTAAAACTTTTCGGCGGCCATCTTGCTTTCTGGATCATCAAGTCCACACTGCAATGTTATAGGTACGATATTGTTCACCATGTGCCTTGTTTACTCTGTGTTTGTTCTTTATACCACATAATAGATGCATTTTGTGTATGGTCTCAATATATTTTTAGAATTTATAAAGGTCTCGTGACATGGTGCACAGTGAAAAGTTGTCCATACATATAGGCCACATACATATATTTTCTCTTAAAAGAGCTTCAATTTCGTAATATACTCAGATCAATGCTAATTAAGCATACATGTCACTCTAAAAATCACTGTGCATTGTTGGATTTCAAAGAAATATTTGACGTTTTCAATGATCTGCTGTTTTATTGGTAAAAGGTATTGTAGTTATTTATAGTAAAAATCGATTGATGTCAAACACAAAATGCATTTGTGTGGTATAAAGTACAGAAACAGAGTAAAAGGTTATATTTTAGAATATTACTTTGTGTTACCCCATTGAAGCGGCAGTTGCCCATGTTTCTATTAATATAGATGATTATATCATACACGATATGCATTTATGTCAAATTATTACAGAAGCATAGTAAACGTTGTCTTTACAATACCACCTTGTGTAACCTCACTTAACGTAGTGCCTTTCGCCCCCGTTTCTATCAATATATCGAGGTTTTAAAAATAATTTGATACCATACACGAAATATGCACTTATGTGGTATAAAATAAAGAAATAGTGAAAAGTTTTCTTCAGAATGCAACCTTGCGTAACCCCATTTCAGTGCCTTTTGCCCCTGTTTATATCAATATAAAAGCTGTTTTCTTTATGAGGGAAGTCTGTTCTATCAAACAGTACAATCATTTTTGTGGGAAAGTATAAACACAAAATCATATTTGTGGTATAGAGTACAAAAACAGAGTAAACAAAGCACATGGTGAACAAGATCGTACCTAAAACATACATGTAGCAGTGTGGACTTGATGGCCCAGAAAGCAAGATGGACGCCGAAAAGTTAATCAGTTGAAGAACATCTCACCATGTAAAAAATTGAAGACAATCCGTTAAGTGGTTTTTCTGGAATCACGATGACAAGATTTATGTAAAACTTCCAAGATGGCCGCCAGAATGCAAGATGGCTGCCGAAAAGTTAATCAGCTCTAGAACTTCTTTCTATTAACATGTGTTAAAATTTGAAACAAATCTGTTCAGTTGTTTTCCTGGAATCGCGATGACAAGATTTATCTAAAAACTTCCTAGATGGCCACCAGAATACAAGATGGCCGCCGAAAAGTTAATCAGCTCTTGAACTTCTTACCATGTAACATGTGTGAAAATTTAAAGTAGATTCGTTTGGTTTTCCTGAAATCGCGATGACAAGATTTATTAAAAAATTTCAAGATGGCCGCCAGAATGCAAAATGGCCAAACGAATGAGCTGTAGGACTTCTTACCATTTAACATGTGTGAATATTTGAAGTACATCTGTAAAGTGTTTTTTCTGGAATCGCGATAACAATATTTATCTAAAAAATTACAAGATGGCCGCCAGAATCAAGATGACCACCGGAAAGTTAATCAGCTGTAGAACTTCTTACCATGTAACATGTGTGAAATTGAAAATTTGAAGTATCATCTGGTGGTTTTCCTGGAATCGTGATGACTAGAAAGTTAGACTTCAGAATACCACCTTGTCTAACCCCATTTTGGTGCCTTTTGCCCCTGTTTCTATCAATATAAGAGGTGTTTTCTTTATAAGGGAAGTCTGTTCTATCAAACGGTACAATCATTTCATGTGGGAAAGTACCGGACAACAAAACTTATTTTCAGAGGGACCAGATCACACTGGGGGGTATCGTGATGCAACAACACCGTGTTGTTGCATCAAGATGGCCAGACTTCCGGTGATAGATTTTCGTACGATATTTTGTTTTCCCAATTTAAACCCATTTCTAGGACGAGTTGCTCAATAATCATACACGTGCAGTTAGCTCATGATCTATATTTAAAAAAACTCTCATAAGTATGCATGTAGCATCATCAAGAAGCGAGAAATTCGCGGTTTTAATTCCTCACTATTGATGCAACAACACCACTCTGTTTATTATCAATGATGCAACAACACCACTGATGCAAAAACGCCAATATAATGTATCATTGAATATCAAGAGAAACTGTTTTATGTTCTGTTTATAGGTGTTGGTCGGGACATGAATAAAACGCGCGAGCGCGTGGTTCATGAATGAAACGTATTTTGTTTGGTTCCTTAATGTATTTTTTTTATCAAAGTTAAAAGGATATACAAGGTAAACTAAATACATAGGCTAAGTATTGAATCCCCTGGAGCCAACCTCATTGATATTGTATCTGAAAAATAAAGATTATTCATTTTCTAAATTAAATCCCCTTGATTTACCGTATCGTATGGAAATTGTTTACAAAGAACTAATATAACTAGACTTTGGAAATTGAACAAGTTCAATTTCAGACTCCAGATCTGGACTTTTTTAAGCCGAGTCATCCAGAAAAAGATGGATGGATGGAGAGAATAGAGAAGAAAGATATGATAGAATAGCAAGGAAGGATAAGATAGGAAGGAAAGGATAGATAGATTAGATTAGATTAGATAGATAGATAGGAAGGAAAGGATATGAAGGATAGATAGGAAGGAACGGATAGGGATAAAAGGGATAGGATAGGAAGGATAGGATAGAATAAGAAGGAACGATAGGATAGAATAGTAGGATAGGATAGGAAGGATGGATGGATTTTTCAACATTTTCTTCGCTACTCTTGACTTTCTATCAGGATACCATCAGATCAATTTTTCTCGAAATTTCAAAACGCCATTACCTCCGAAGCGGAAGTCGGATCGATATTTGGTTTGCAGATTCTGATTCCTGAGAAAATTCTATTCTTCATTCATAACTCAAACGTTAATTTTGGAGAATTTTTTATTTTGACCTACTTTTTGGACACCATATCTTAAAAGTGGGTTAAATACTTTCTGACGGCAAAAGGCTAATACTATTAGTACTCTTGGCTACATGTTACACAATTTCGAAGAATATAATTGAAGTGTAGTTGTTGTCAAATGTAGAAAAGGTTTATATGTTGTGATCATATATTATTAATTGTCAATCCCAGAAGTCAACAGAATAATGTAGTATATTTTTTGCTATTGCTTTAATGATATATATTTGTGAAATCTATACTATGCGTCTGAGGTGTTGAACCTCAGACGCACAGCAGAGAACTAAAGTAGAATATATTTAGACACACTTTTAGCCACTAAAGCAATGACGTAAGCAGACAGCATGTACATACATGGAAATACAAGTGCTATAAAGTGCTACACTCACCCCCCTCAAAGACAAACAGAATCCCA